GTACCAACCAGGGTGTGAGTTATCCCTGAGAATTTTCCTCACTCTATCAAGGCATGGGCTCTGGCGATGTCATCCAGTGGTGCCAGGGAACAGCCCATAATGTTTTGTGCCATGCTCACCACCCTCTGTAATACCTTCCTGTCCACGGCTGTCAGGCCAGCATACCAAACCACAATACAGTATGTGAGAACGCTTTCAGTAACTAACGCTTTAGTTACTATCATGGTAGGACATGTTTAGATTAGGGACCTTGTATGAGTTCAATTTTCAACCCTTCCGCTCATTACGAAACCAGCAATCCAGTGGTTTTGGGTATAACTAAGGGAAAGATAACAAGATGGTAATTTAACCAGTTTTAGATTTTAGATTGGAGAACATCTTTCAAAATTGAAAGAATAATTGCACAGTGAGATTTTTCTTTCTTTTTTGGTTGCTTTCAAGAGCAGAACTCGGTGGACAGCATAAATGTGGTTGACTGTGGAAGTTTCTAAAAGTAAGACCCAGTGGACTCTATCGATTTAAGCAACTTCCACCATAGTTAAAAAAGTCAAGGTGCAAATTATTTATTTATTTAGAAAATTTATATAGCCGCCTGCTTGCTCACAGCGATCCTAGGGTGCTTACAAGCAATAAAGCCGTATAGAAAATAAAAATAAAAAACAATACCCACCCATCCCAATCTCTCCTCCGGTGAAAACACACACAGTCAAATAAGCCACTGATGGGCAAATAATAATATTTGAAGTATAACAGAGGGATAGTGAGGTAATGTTCTTCTCTGTTCTAGTTTTATGCAGTATATTTTTCTTGCATAGTGACTGCCTGGAACAAATGAAATTGATGGGGACAAAAAGCAGAACTGAAGATTGTGACTTAAATGGCAAACTGATTTCCTTTTTTGAAATGATTATGTTTTTTAACTTGAAAATGTGGGGCTGTCCTGTTCACTCACACACACACACACACACACACACACACACACCATGTGGGTTTAAAGTCTTTATTGATGCTTCGCCAGCCCCAAATAGTATTCCCTCAGATTCACCCCATACAGGAACCAGTGCAAAACCCCATAAGTTCAATTCTCAAGTCCAGGAGCACAGAGCAAGTCCGTAGAGTCACCCACCAGGTTTGAAGTCAAAAGACAAGTCCACAGTCTGAACACAAAGCACCAAAACCAAACGTTTAAGATGATCTCTTTCCCATCTTTCTCTTCTTTAATTGCATCTTTTTTGTGTTCTACGTCAATGTCTGCCTACTTTTTTGTTCCTTATGGTCCCCCTTCTTTATACTTTTTTTTCTAAAGCCTTACATTTCATGTTCTTTGGGCACTAAACTAAACTACATTTGCTATGAAATGTGTAAAAACATTGAATGTCCTCTTTTAAAATAAGTAAGCATGGACTCTTTTTACCCAGGGTAAACCCATATGATCATAACATACTTTTTCAGCAACAAATCCTGTTATTGGCATTATGGGTTCTGGAATTCCACAAGATTTGGAGGTTCCCATGATGATCATCCTGCTTTAATCATTTCCTCATGTGCCACAGTCCTACAGTAAACTACTTATCCAACAATAATTAGCTTTGGGAAGGAATTCCTGCTGACACCAGCAAAATCTTTCTTCCTCTGGCTAATAACAGTTTGGGTAGCGTACACATTTCTGAAAGGATTATAGTGGATAAGGAAAGAAGTAAACTATCTAACCCACATGCCCCGCTCCTAATCGTGCTCATTTCTTTTCCACCACTTCCTTTTAAAAAGTGCATTGAAATGTACACATAAATTAAAATGGCATACAATTTGGCACCAAATATTTTTCTACAAATCATTTCATTACCTTTCTTACAGTAGGGCATTCAGCCTTTCCCTAGATCTTCTCTTTAGTTTGACTTCCCCTCACTCACTTGCTTTTCATTTCCCTTATAATTCCATGGGCTGTCCTGAAACCATGTTGTGAGATTACAGCACCCAGAGTGAAATAGCATGACTGCAACATTCTGAGGCACATTATAAAGATAACACTCTTTTCATTGTGCAGCTGTCTGATTGACTTAAGACAGGGATAGGCAACCTTGGCTCTTTTATGACTTGTGGACTTCAACTCCCAGAATTCCTGAGCCAGCATAGCTTAGTTAATTTAGTTAATAAAAAATATACGTTATAAATCCATGTATGTTGCACCGTACGCTAAATAAATAAATAATTCTGAAATGAAATACTGTTTGGATCATTTTTCAGGGGCTAAGGATTCAATGAGAATGGAAATAGAATGCTTGTAGGGGGCAGGGGGTCTCCAACCTTGACAACTTTAAGATTTGTGGACTTCAACTCCCAACATAGCTGGCTCAGGAATTCTAAGAGTTGAAGTCCACAAGTCATAAAAAAGCCAAGGTTGCCTACCCCTGATTTAGGAGCATAAGAATAGGATCATACTATCCTCCTCCTCCTCTTCCTCCTCCTCCTCCTCCTCCTCCTCCTCTTCTTCTTTCTCCTCCTCCTCTTCCTCCTCCACCTCCATTTTCAAGTCACTTTTGCCCTTCAATTTTCCAGTGTTTTCCTTGTTTTTCTCCAACAGCATCTGTAATAGTCGAGATTGTATTCTACTACCTGTATGCATTGTTTTTCTTGAATTCACTATCAGAGCAAATAAAACATTGTCAAAGTAAATTTATGGATTGAAATGAAATGTTCTTAGGAAACCAGTGGCACTGTCAACTTGATGTTTTATCTCCCAGACATCTGTACCACTACATAGTTCTTTCTGCAGGTCTACATCTGTGACACACAATTCCTGGCAGTTCATATTGATGGGATTACAACCAAGTATGAAACTGCTTCAGGCGTTTTTAGTGAGCTTGAATTTTTAAACAGAAGCTTTTACTTGTATTTTGTTACGTGAGCTTAACCTTTTATGTTGAGAAATACAAGAATGGCAGGGCCAACCCCAGATTCAGACAGATTAGACAGAAGCCTCTCACTCCCACACTTGTGTAAAAAAAACAAAGATACCTTCAAGTGCAGTTATATCAGTTTTTACAGAAGACACTGCAATAACATTTTCAATCTTATGTACCATTTTTTTTTAGAATATTCTAATCCTTTCAGTATTTGATAGTTACAGGACATGCTGAATTCTCATTGGGCTGTTTTGGCTTCTCTATTCCTTTTACAGTATAATGTGATTTTAAAAGTTCTTGCTTGTAATTATCCTTTTACGAAACCTGTTGCTATTTCCTTCTGACTCCTGTCATTATCTAAGAAATTCAGCTAATTTTACTGTGAGTATATAAAGTTGAAGATTAAGATACGTTTTCCATTTACATTTCAGTGTACGTTTTGTTTTGTATTACATATGATACAGTGGTGGGATTCAGCCAGTTCGCACCACTTCGGCAGAACCGGTAGCTAATTTTTTGTTGCCCAGGCCCAGAATGGAAGTGGTATCCACACAGAGAACTGGTTGTTCACATATTTGAATCCCACTACTGATATGATAGGATATCTTATGCATGTTTTTTGTCTTCTAGTTATATGGATTGGGGATTTCTTATATATCCACAGGCATTTTAGTCTTTCTTCTCTGAATATGTATATGTTTCTTCAAAATACAACTACAAAGATACATACAAAAGTGTACATAAAGCTTGATGATAAAAAATTATGTACAGGTGGTCCTCAGGTTATGACCACTCATTCAATGACCTTTCAAACTTATGATGGCAGTGAACAAATGGCAGTTACAACTGGTCCTCAGAGTTCTGGTTGTTACAATGTACCCACAGTTACACGAGTGTGAACCATGTCGTGCTTCTGGTTTCAAATATACATAACACACACAATGAATATGGAAATTATCTAAGTAGATAAGATGTGTATTTTGAATACAAGATATTGTTATGAATTGAAGATAAAGAATAATTTTGGCTATTCAATATCTAGAAGTATAAATAGTGACAGTTAAATTTGAACATTGAGTTGCTTATAAAGGTTAGGTAAAGGTGATTAAGACATATATATGCCAAAAACTTACTGATGAATGTAAATAAATATGTAAACTACAACGCCATTCTTACCTTTAATAATCGAATTTATGCTCTTTCATCTATATTTCTTCTTCCCACTCCTTCATGATTTACAACTTTATCTTTTTTGAAACCAATGACTTAAATTCTATAAACCTTTTATATTCTTTTATTCTTATAATCCAATAACTAACAGATTTTGTACCTTACAATTTTGTTAACTCTGTATTATAAACTAAAAATTATTGATAAATGTAAGAAAGTTATTTTTTATCTGATTGATAGAATAAGAAGTACACCAACTCAAATAAGAGACAGTACACATTAAGGGAAAAAGAGAGGAAATATTGGCTGTAATAGTTTGAGATGTGTACTAATAATATCTGTATGTAATTGAATTATTGTAACTCAGCCGCCATGTTGTTTTTCAAAGATATAATTGTAACATTAGAAAATCAATAAAAAGTTATTTAAAAAAAGGAAATTAGCAGTTTACTCAAGGTTGAGGAGGTAACAGCAGACAAGGAATGCAAACCAACACAGAGTCTCTGAAAAAAGAAGCTTGCCTGAATGGCTTTACTTTTAACAGAAGATGCAGAAAAATAGTCACAATCTAGTCCAAATTTTCAAGAATCATGTCAGGATTGTTAGCCTGTCCAGAGATCAGAATTTCAAAAGTAGAAGCCTCACAAATGTCACATAAGTCCCAGAGATCAGATGGTTGATTCCAAGAAAGAATCATGAGTCAGGGCTACAGATTTGTGATAATCATAACATTATTCTTATAGTTTCTGAACTTATGTTTGATGGGAGAAAGACCAAATATATACATCATCATTTGTTGTAAATTTAATGTGGAAGTAAGGCAAATTGGAGTTAGAGTTGTGTCTATCAAAATGACTGCTGCCTTAGAATAAAAATAGATATTGAATGGAAAGAAAGTACCAATGCCTTCTTGAACAAGGGTTGTCTTGTTTTGCTTTCTCAGATAAAATGCATGTGTCATTAGCTGAAGCCCTGGAAGTTCGGGGTGGACCACTACAGGAAGAAGAAATATGGGCTGTGCTGAATCAAAGTGCTGAAAGCCTTCAAGAGTTACTCCGAAAAGGTAAGGCCTAGATTTTAGCTTCAAGATAGGTGTATTGGAGTAAGACCATATGGGATGGAAAATAATACAAAGGATAGAAAATTTGAATAAGTAATCCAATGAGTGGAAATGGTTAGGGTTAGGATTAGGGTTCAAATTTAACTTATCTGCAAAATTTAAATTCCTTGTTAAATGGAGAAGAAATATGCCAGGTACATCCATCATCTCAGTAACTTCATTGATCAGGATTCCTCTGGCCATGTTGATAGCATTCTTTCTGATTGTCCAAGACCTTGTTTTGGCTTCACCTTCATTGATTCCTACTACACATGGTCACTTTGGAGGGAGTGCAGGACCTGCATGTGAAAAAGAGGGCTTGTTTTTTTGTTTTAATGAAATAGGTAATGTTTAAGGAAGATGTTAGGATTATCCTTTAGGAGTCAGGTTCATTTAACCTATCACTGGTTAAAGACCTGAGTATATTAGAGAACATGGAGAAGGTCAAGGGATGAACCAGTAGCATTTAGTTCCAGCATTTAAAAAAGGTGCATTGAAAAAAAAAAGCCATTCCCATCTAAAGCCTTTGGAAATCTGACTTAATGATGACATGTTTTGGAACTGTTTCAAGAAGCAAAGCCTGAGGCAACCACACCTCCTACTTTAAACTTTGTAATGTAAAAAGTAGTCTCAGAGGTCAAACTCTCATATTCTTTCTGTCCCCCCTGCCCAAAACCGAAATCCCCAGACCCTCATCATCTTCTATCTGAATGTAGAGGTGAAACATTGAGGAGTCTGTTCCTTATACATATAAACACAACTGTGAAGGAATAGAGTAGAGTAGAGTAGAGTAGAGTAGAGTAGAGTAGAGTAGAGTAGAGTAGAGTAGAGTAGAGTAGAGTAGAGTAGAGTAGAATTCTTTATTGGCAAAGTGTAATTGGACGCACAAGGAATTTGTCTCTGGTGCATAAGCTCTCAGTGTACATACAAACAACATATATTTTGTTCTGTGAACTGAGCAAATATGCAAAATTAATTTCTGGTTGAAAGTTTTATTCCTCATTTTTGTTAAATTTATGCTAATTTTCCTATTAAAAGTTGGCATTGTACCTTCTTTAGAAAGAAAGAAAAGATTTAGAAATATTTCTATATTTTTCTAGGCTGTAAAGAAGAGAGGTGGAGAAATAATATTGTATAGCACAATGGTCCCCAACTTTCCAGCTTGGTGGCTTGGCGGGGGGGGGGAAGGGTTCTGTTACCTGATATTTCCTCTGAAATTCCCCCTCTGATAAGATCCAACAGGGATGCCATGTTCCAGACCAGGGGTAGGCAACCTTGGCTCTTTTATGACTCGTTGACTTCAACTCCCAGAATTCTTGAGCCAGCATAGCTGGCTCAGGAATTCTGGGAGTTGAAGTCCACGAGTCATAAAAGAGCCAAGGTTGCCTACCCTGACCCTCTCATTTAAGCAATGTCATTTTAAGCAGCAGATGGTGTCCCTTCCCTTTTGCTGCATCCCCTGGGGATTACCATTTCTCCGTGAGATTCAGATTGCCTTTCATAAAACCCCAAAGACCTGATTTTCCCCCAGGCATTGGGTCAATTGTTTTGTGAATCTGATTGGATTGTATTTTATTTATTTATTTTTTGATTGCTGAATTGCCTCTGACATAACTGTTTTACGCCTTAATATACAGTATGTTTCAGTAAGGTTTTCTTTAAATAGTGTTATTTCTCTTTTAGCCGTACGCCATCCTGAGTTAGAAATCAAAAGGCTGGCTATGTATAATAAATTGACCACATAAATAAATAGCCAAGTGCACCTTAAAGCTGTCTTTCCCTAAGGGAACTTCATACAATTTCAATTTGACTTGGGTCAAGCTTTGTTGCTTTGCTTCCTAAGTCCAGAATTTCCAATGTGCAAAGCAGCATTAGATTGTCAGGAATGTCTCTTGAGTAGATATGCCAAGATTCAAGATATAATGTACATGAGTAAATTCAGGCTATGTACCACAAATCCTTTCCTTAAAACTTTAAAATGGTTCTCATTCATGAAAATGACTTTTCATCATGATTTGGATATTTATGTTTGAAGATTTCTAGAAAGCATCATTATTTGTAGAAAATAAGAGGATGGGCCAACTTCTTCAGAAGTTTCTGCGACCTGCTCTTGAGTTACTAAAGCAGTTGCTTATTACTCTCTTCAAAGATCCAAGAGATAAGAATAAAGCCAGTCCTGGCTCTTTCTGTGGTTCCCAGGCAACACCTCACAACTCTTGAGATTTTGACATATTTGATGTTCATAATTATAGACATGGCTTCTTGCCCAGTATTGATGGTTTATGTCAAATTGAATTGATTTGTCCCTTTTTCAGTGAGATGAAGCTAGATGTTTTGAGTCTTTTGCTGTTAACAGGAAAAGAGTTTTAATGCATGATTGAGTGAAGCAAATGCTGTTGTGCATTTTAGAAATAATTTTAAAAAATAATAAAATAGGCCTATCATTCTTTTTAAATGAGAAAGTGTCTCTGGCATTGATTTTTCTTTTACATCCTGGTTGCTGCTCAGCCATGAACTTCCTAAGGTATTTTGGCCATTCAGCTTCTATTCTTTCATCTATAAATAAGATTCCTAGGTAGCTGTCGGAATGACTGCCTGAGATCTTAAATAACCATTTTCAGCCAGGTGTTTTCCAATTATGATGAATAATTCCAGTTCTCATAAGGGTTGGAAATGGCTGGAAACTCTCAACTTCGATAAACATCCAGTCAGTTTTAATTCTTTAGCGTATTTGGCAATTGAACAATCTGCCTTAGCCAACCTGTGGACAAAAAGGATTATTATAAGGGTGCCCTCAGGGACCGTTGGCAACTTAAAAATGGTGAGA